ACGAGCCAGCAATCAATCGGGGCCAGGGACATGGCGGCTCAAACACAGTGTAGCTTTGTATGTATGCAGATACATGTATATACATATTTGTGTTCAACCCCTGTCGACCGTAGAACCCACTGGGACATTATACACTTTTCGTTTTGCCTAGTGGCGTTTGTGCAAAGCCCCATGGGACAGGGCCCAGGCACCTTAGTGTACAAACGCGCGGTCCCCAACCGAAGCGAACACGCAACACACTGTTTAGCTCCAGTCCTGTTCGCTTCACCTCTCCCCCCGTCAGCCGCCCGCGGGCCACACGCGCCCCCGCGGCACCCTCGACCGCGGGCCGCGCGTCCGCATGCCCTCCCTGAGGGAGCTGACGGCGCCGACGCGTTGAGCTCAACCTCTGCGCTAAGAGCTTTTCCTGAGGAGGAGGAGCTCGGCCGGCAGCGGCCGCGCCGCGGAGCGCGGACCCGACCGGCGTCGGCCTCCTCGCTCCCGCCACTGCGCCCCCAGGGCCAGGCGGCGCTTGCGGCTCGGGGCGAGCGCGACCTCGTCTCGTCCCCCAGGCCCTTGCGGTGGCCCGTGCCCCCTCCTGCTTGTCTTCTTCCACCTCGTCGCCCTTCCCCCGTCCCTCCTGCCTCCCCGTCCCCCTCCCCCTCCATTTCCATCCCGCCTCATGCGCCACCGTGCACCGAGGCACGAAGTGGAGTGTCCTCAGGTTCCTCAGACTCCCTTGGATCGGGTATCGAAGACGCCTACGGCGAATCACCGCCGCCCCCTGCCTTTTTGGAAGCGCCTATGTGGCCAAACGTTGAGGCCAGATCTGCCAAGCTATCGGACCATGTGTTCCCCGAATCGGTTTGCAAAGCCTTCGGGGAACACGTGGGCATCTTGAAGGTCATCGTGGCCGTCTGGAGACCATTTTGACCCTTTCGGGCCTTCTTGGAGGACGCCTCGGAGGCATCTTGGGCCGTCTTGGAGGCCATCTTGAGCGTCTTGGAGACCTCTTGGGCCGTCTTGGGGGCCTCTTGGGGCCGTGTCTTGGGCCTCTTGGGCGATCTTTGGAGGCACTTGGGCCGTCTCGGGCCGTCGGAAGGCAGAACAAAAAGCAAATGCCGCAATCCTTCAAAAACCGATAGGAAATCAATGATTTTGGACTTTTCGGGCCCTCTGGGAGGCCTCTTGGGCCGTCTTGGGCCATCTTAGGGCCATGTTCGGCCGTCTTGGCTGGCTCCTGGTCCGTCTGACGCCGTCGGAAGCCGTTTGGGGCCTCTATGGGCCGACTTGGGGCCCTCTTGGAATGCTCCAGGGCCGTCTTGGAGGCCATCTTGGGCGTCTGAAAAGCCTCCTGTGCCGTCTTGGGGGCCTCTTGGGGCCGTCTTGAGGCCCTCTTGGGCCGTTCTGGGGCCATCTTGGAGGCTTCTTGGGCGATCTTTCGGCGATCTTTGGGGACTCTTGGGCCGTCTCGGGCCGTGGGGAGGCAGAAAAAAAAGGAAATGCCACAATCCTTCAAAAACCCATCGGAAATCAATGAGTTTGGTTTTCTCGGGCCTTCCTGGAGGCCCTCTGGGGCCTCTTTGGCCGTCTTGGGCCAGCTTCGTGCCAACTTCGGCCATCTTGGTGGGTTCCTGGCACGTAGGACGCCGTCGGGAGCCGTCTCTGGGGCCTTTCTGGGCCGACTCGGGGCCCCCTTGGGGCGCTTCGGGGCCGTCTTGGAGGCCATCTCGGGCGTCTCGGAGGCCATCTTGGACGTGTTGGAGGCCTCTTGGGCCGTCTTGGAGGCCACTTGGGCCGTCATGGGGCCCTCTTGGGGGCCTCTTGGGGCGATCTTGGGAGCCTCTTGGGCCGTCTTGGGCCGTCGGAAAGCCGAAAAGGCGCAAATGCCAAAATCCTTCAAAAACCTACGGAAAATCAATGATTTTGGCCTCGTCGGGCCTTCCTGGAGAGGCCTCTTGGGCCGTTTTGGAGGCCTTTTGTTGGCCTTTTGGGCCGTCGTAGACCATCTTGAGGCCATCTCGGGCCGTCTTGGGTGCATCTTGGAGCCATCGTAGCCGTCTTTGAGGCCATCTTGGCTTTCTTGGAGGCATCTTGGAGGCTATCTTGGCCGTCTTGGAAGCCATCTTGGGCCATATTGGGCCATATTGGGGCCTTCTGGGGCAGGAAAACCGTTTGCAAACGGGTCTTCGGGTGGCCGGCGGGACGCGCCGGAGCTCCAGGGGGAGTTCTTTTGGAAAAGAACCAAAACCAGAACCGATAGGATTCGGCACGCCAGGCACCCTTTTGATGATTCAAAAGGGGGCGGCGGATCCAGCTGCCTGCGGCAAGTCCCGCCATCGTGCCAGTCCAGCATGCCCAGCGGCGACTGCAACGTGCACTGTGGAGGGGTGGGAGCTGAAGGCGATCGACAAGGTACGCTGAATCAGTGCACGGCCCTCGGATGCCGGATCGTCCTGGGGAGCAAATGATGTGGAGGAGGAAAGCCGCCACATGTGACAAATCTTGTCTTCGTTTCTTGAGGTGCGCTCATGCGCCTCTTTTGGGCTGCCTGTGCGTGGTGGTCGCGATGGAGATAGTGATGTTGATGTTGATGGATTGTGGTAATGGTCACGAGGATGATGAGGATGACGATGAGAATGAAGATGACAATGATGATGATGATGCTGATTGTGATGATGAGGTCGACTACGTCGATAATAGTGCTGATAATGAGGACGATGAGGAGCCAGGGCTCCTGAAAGGCGGTCCCCGGTGGTTCTTGGGGCCCGCTTGGGCCGTCGGAGCCCTCGTGGTTGTTTGGGGAGTCTCTTGGGGCCACGGTGGGGCCGTTTTGGGTCCCTCTGCAGGCCCTCTAGGGCCAGCTTGCGGCGTTCTTGAGTCCACCCTGGGCTGTCCAGGAAGTTTCTTGGGCTTTCTTGAGTCCGTGTGAAGGTCCTTGGGCTATCTTGAGGCCTTCCTGGGCAATCGTGGGGCCATCTGGGAGGCCTCGTGGGACGTCTTGAGCCGACGAAAGCTCGAAAAGGCGAGAATACGAACACCTGTCACTTGCCACAAGGAAATTAACGCTTTGGGAATCTTCGGGCCTTGCTGGAGTCTCTTTTGGAGCCGTCTTGGGCCGTTTGGGAGGTCTTTTGGGCCGTCGTGGAGGCCTCTTGGCCCATGCTCACGGCCTTGGTGGTCTACCCTGACCGTTTGGGACGTCAGCTCTGTGCATCTCCGACGCCCTGGAATTCCAGCGACGTGCCTGGGCGCCGACGGGGCCTCGGCAAAGGGAGGGCGGTGCGCGCAGGGGGAATGCGTCGAGCGCGGGGGTGGGCCCTTGGCAGACTACAGGCAACCCTGTCAGACAGCACGTGGCATGCGAGCACGCTTCAACGTGTCGGGGGGCACGGCGGCGGATTGCAGAAACCCTGCCAGCCTGCCAGACAGCACATGGCATTCGAGCACGCCTCAACGTGTCAGGGGGCACGGCGGCGGATTGGACTGCTTTCTCTGGCGTCCACAGCCCGGCATTTTGGGTGCCGCTGGACGCCTCCTCTGGCTTCCACGCCGCCGTGGCATCGGGCGTCGCAACAAGCGAGCGGCACGCACGCTTTCTTCTCGGTGTGGGGGCCTCTGGAGGTTCGCACCGAGCCCCTGGACCGTCAACAAAACGATCCGGGATGAGACACTCCCCAGGAAGGCGCCGAAAGGTCCAGGGCCAACGTCATGAACAAAAAAACAGAACGCGACCCCGATTAGGGAAACGGTTCCCAAGTTGCATTGTTCGGCATTGTTTGGCATTTTTTTTGCATCGTTCGACATTGTGTGGCATCGCTCTGCATTGCTCGTGCTTGGCGTTGCTTGCATTGATTGGCATTGCTTGGCGTTGCTTGTAGATGTTTGGCAGTGCTTGATCTTGCTTGATTGGCATTGCTTCGCTGGGCATGGCTTGCAGTTGCTCGACGTTGCTTGGGTGCCTGGCACTGTTTGGCAGTGTTCTGCATTGCTTTACTGGTATCGTTTCGCGTTGCAGCCAGGCTGCCCCTCGCTGAGCAGCCCCCCCCGCAGCTTTTCTTCACGAACAAATCGTGGCATCACTCGGACGTTTGCCTTTCTTCTCGGCGCGGACCATCGAGGAGGATTTGTCATCATCGAGCCCCCCCCCCAAAAAAAAAACACGAAACCGAAACATGAACGGCAGATAGACGTCCGAGCGATGGCGAGAAGTGAGAACCCCTTAGATGGTAAAAGGACGGGTGTTTGGGTCCCTTCTTCCTCTTGCAACCCGCAAGGGCATTCCGCCATTCCATTTCGACCCCGCCCCGTTTGCATGGGGCAGCCTCGGGCTCACGGCCGTGTGTCCCTTCCCCCCCCCACCCCACTGCTCTTGGGGGCGGTCGGGTCAAGAGTTTGCGCCCTCCATGGCTGGGTGGTCCTTCCCATCCTTCGGCCCCCATTCCTCAGGGCCCCATCTTTGAACCGCCGACCGGCTGTTGGGGATAGGAGCCCGCATAGCCGCTCAAGAACAGGGACTGCCGACATGCCTTTGCCTACCTCCGCATCGGAGGGTGAGTGGAGACAACGGCAGTTGGACTTCGGGGGGGGCGCCTCGTGCCACGGTTGGACGCAGCTCGGAAGATTGGTGCGATCGGTCCCCGAGGGGGCTCCGGGGGCCGATGTTGAGTTGCAGTTGTCTCAACTCGCTCTGCTACGATTCCCGCTCTCCGCTCCTGCCCTTTCTCGTCGCTGGCCCCTCCTGCCTTGCGGTCCTTCCTCCTGTTCCGCTGGTTGTTCGGCCCGCGCGAAAAACGTCGATTGGTCGTCAGCGGTCGTTCTGCGCAGAGTCGACCATTCCATCCTTCTCCGCCTCCTGTCTCCCGCCTGAAGTGACAGGAAGGCGCCTCGACTGCGCAACTGCGGAGGGGCTACAACATGGAGTCAGGCGATGGGGGCTAAGTAGGCGTTCGGCCGTGCTGCAAGCGGTCGTTCACCAGCCGCCAGATCTGAAGCAAAGTTTCCCCGTCAGTGTTCCAGAGGACCTGCACCACTTCGTCGTCGACCAGCTTCTCGAGTGCCTGGAGGGTGGCGTGACGGCCCCGGCGCGCTAGAGCGGATGCAGCGTTAGTGCAGTTGTTTTCGATAGCTGGAATGCCAAGGAGTATGATTGTGCACTGAAGGTTGATCCTTTCACCTCCACGCATTGCTTTCATTCTCCCTCTCGCACTCCCCGCATTTGTCTTTAAGCAGTCACACACATATATATATACATATACATATATATTTGTGTATATATATATATATGTGTGTACATTTCTATGTATGGTGTTGTGAACGCACGCGTGCAACGTGTGCGTCGAAACAAATTGGCTTGCACACGTCTTGCGGAATCGCTCTTCCGATTCCCACGGGGAGGGGGGGCCGTTGCAGGAGGAGGGTTTTGTGGCCGATGCTCTCGTGTCATGGGTGCTATTCGGAAAGTGCGGCTTAACAGTTTTCACGCCGGTTTGCCGTTGCGTGATTGTTCGTTGCGGCGCGTTATGCCCATGCACGGAACCACCAGGATGCCTGCGTGATTTGGTTGTACCGGCCTATCCGTCAGATGATGGGCCCTCTCGCACTCCGTTGCCAGCGTGGCTCAAGTGCCGCAGTTTCCAGCTTCCGCTCGCACCCTGTGCTAGTGCCTCGACCCCCGCACCTCAGCATGAATTCTTTCGTTGCAGCCGTTGGTGAGGCGCCGATGGGCCAGGAGGTCCAGGCGGCGGTGGTTGCAGCACTGGAGGGTGCTGGGTTTGCCAACCCTGAGCACCTGGCTGGAACAGCGGACAATGCGATCGGGGAGATGGCCGCCAAGCTCAATGGTCCAACGGGCGGCCTGCTCAAGCGCACCTTCCGTTGTGCCGTGGACGTGTCTGCGGCCAAACGTGCGAAGGCGTCGGCGGCGGCTTCCAACCAACAGCCGCCACCTTCCCCAAGCTCAAGCACCTTGGCGGCTGGGTCCCTCGTCGGCCTCCTTGGACCAGAGGCGTCAGCAGGTGCTGTGGCAAGTGCCCTGACGGCGGGAAACGTCGTGGTGGATCTCAACGACAAGCTTGAGAAGGCGGCGGTCAAGGATTTGCCGTACCACCTCAGGCCTGAACCTGTGTTTTTTCCAGCTTCTGGCGGCGGCGGATGATTCGGCACGGGAGGCCGTCCCAGCCCGCAAGTCGCATACGTATACGTCGACTTCACCCGCAAGGACGTGCTCCCTCTGTGGATGGGGTCTGAAGCGGTTGGGGGGCACACGCCAAGGCCCGGCGAGTTCGATTGGGACCCCAACGCGGACACGGCGTCGCTGGGTGCGTTGGGGAAGGCCTTCAAGGGCGCCGTGGAGAAGCCCAGATACTTCCGCAGCATGGTGCAGTGGAGTGCAGTCTGGCACCGCTACGCTATTGCGGCGGTGGCCATGGGGCAGATGATATGGCCAATGGTGCTGGCCCACGCGGACCAGATGCAGACAATGGCGGAGGATGAACGTGCCTCCGGACACGGTCCTGCTCTGGCCTTCGTCTACGACGAGCTCTTCAGGAAGTCGATCGCGTCCAGTGCGGAATGCGACCCGTCCTTAGACGTCATTGCGACCTTCAGCGAAGTAGACAAGCAGGTCCTCGAAGCTGCCAGGACTAGGCTTAACCAGACTGGTCTCTCGAGGCAGCCGAAGCAGGAGCATCATCAACACGCCCAAGATGCGAACAAGCGTGCCAGGGACGCGGCCGGGGCCGAGAAGTTCACGTCGAAGGCCGCCCAGGCAACGGAATAGTTAGCGAAGCAGCAAGTCCTCTTGGAGGCATCCACGGCGGCGATGTCGAAGGGCGGCGGCAAGGGCGGCGGCAGAGGCGGCGGAAAGGGCGGCGGCAAGGACGATCGCACCAGCAAGCAGAAGAAGTCGGATGCATTCATCGACGGGCAGAAGCAGTTCATGCACGACAGAAGGTGGGCGAAGAACCATCGCTCGGGCTGGCGAGGGTCGGAGGTGCCCCGTAACGATGGGGCCGTCACCGGGCTGAAGCCCCCAGAGTGCCTGGCGGCGCTCCCTCGCGCCCGCGGTGTGCACCTGGTTATGGGGGGCCTCTGTTTGGAGCTCTTCTGCGGCCTTGCCTCGCTGACCTTGTCGCAGGTCTTTGAGGCCGTGCCCTGCACGTGACATTCGGGCTTGTCGTCCGGGTCCGAATTGGATGTCCTGCTGCGCGGGAATGCGTTATTCGCTGTCGCTGTTGCGGGCCGTCTTGCGCATGTACATGTTGGACTGCCTTGCCAATCCCCGGCGTGGGCGCGCCCGCCCCCATTGCGGCCATGGGACTATGCGCGGGGGCTGCCGGCGTTGACAGGACAATCTGCTGAGAGAGTTTTGATGGGCAACCGATTGCCTGTTTTCTCAGCACAGCTTTGCTTCGCGCTGCACGCGGAGAGCCACTACTGGTCGATCGAGAATCTTCTGTATTCGTGGACTTGGGCATTTCTGGCAGCGGCGCGGCCCCGCGCCATGCCGGGCGCATCAACCGCGCGCGCACATTGCGACCAGTTCGGAACGCGCCATTCCAAGCCCACCTTCATCCTCCATAGCCCCCCCCGTTGCACAAATTGGCTGCGCCGCCGCGCGCGACCCCCGACGAGGCGATCATCTTGCGGGGGCAGTGCTGGCACAAGGGCGAGCGAAGGTCCAGGACTTCGCCGGCGTCGCCATGCCCGCCCCAGATGACGAAACGAATGGCGAACCTCACCCGCGAGAGCCCGTGCATGAAGAGCGCCGTTGCTACGCGTGCCGATGTCCAACGCGCCCCTGCATCCCATGACGACGGGGGGCCCTTCCCCGCAGCGAGGCCCATTGCGCCGCCCAAGGGGCCCAAGGGCCATGTGTGCTACGCGGAGGGCGTTGACTTGCTGGCGGGTAATTTGTTCCTCCCTGATCAGGTCAGCAGCGCCGTGGCTTGCGTCCATTCCGGCGACGCCGACAACGTTGGCGATGACGAGGGCGACGATTTCGCGCCGGACTGGTTGGGCTCCAAGCGCGGGCGTTCGCCCGATGACCTTATCCAGAAGGCCCTCGCCCAGCCGCGCCTCTTCGCAGCTCAGGAAGCTAAGCTCAATGACAAGTTGCAGCGCGCCGCCAGGGGGGCTCATGCGATCAAGCCGGAGGCCCTTGACAAAATAAGGACAGCAGGTTGCAATATTGGACGTTGAGGGCCCCCCAGCTGGATGAAGAGCGGGCCAGGCGGGTCGCGGGGGGCCCGCCGCAGCTCAGACCTACGTCGGCATCCATGCATGGACCGCTCGTTCTAGCATGGTGCATGCATTGTTCGCGCGACGTGAGCTTGGCAGTGGACGTCCAGCAGGGGGCGCCATTTGTCGGCGTTCTGCCCCTCTCCCGGTGTCTGCAATACTGGTTGCGAACATGCATGCAACCTATTTGTTGCCGATCTTCGAGGGCAATGGGCCGAGCGCAACAGCTGCATGATGTCGAAGCTGATCCCGTCGGAGTGGTCGTCGGACCTCTGGGTGTCCGCCGTGGGCGACGCAAAGGCCGGGTACGTGACCCCCCCAGTGCCCGTCCATCATCTGGACTTTTCCCGCATCTCCCTCACGCGTCGCTTGCCTGTCATGGAGGAGAGGCCGAAGGGGGCGAGGACTCGACCAGTGGACAGCTTCACGGCGTCGGGCATCAACCCAGCCACGCGAACTGAGGACGCCATAGTCCACGACGCGATTGACCACGTCGCGCCGATGCTGGCCATGTGCATATCCGAGGGCATGACGCCGCGGATGTGGAAGCGCGACGCGGAAGGTCCCCGTCAAGCTCGATGATACGGACCTCGATTGTATCACATTCGTGCATGTGGGCATCAGTTGGGCGTCGCAACATTTGGCGATGCAGTTTTGGGTCCGCATCCGTCAATTACGCGTGGCATCGTACACGCAGCTTCATTAATATCATCATGGGTTTGTTGTTCTTGGCCCCTGCTTGCAGGTGCGCGGGTGATTTCTTCTGCTGTGACCCGCAGGAGTGTGTGGTTACGGGCGGCTCATGCCTGACGGCCATGTGCGGCTTGCTCGGCTTTCCGACGGACTCGTGCATGGATGGTGACCGCGCGTTGGGCCTCGCAGTTTTGGGGGCACGCATCGCACTCGACGTCGCCGCGATGCCCGCGTCTGCAGCGATGGGCGCAAACAAAGCGCAGCAATGGACAGAGGAGTTGCAGTTCGTCGCGAACGAGAAGAAGCGCGGCCCTGACCAGGCAGCGAAATCCGCAGGCCGTCTTTCATTCGCCTGCACGGCTTCAGCGGCCCAGCAAGGTAGGGATGTCGCGAAGCCACTCTACGCCCAAGCCAACGCGCCGCTGCACGGTTTTGGCATGTCCCCAGCCTTGCTTAATGCTGCCAGATGGTGGACCAAACTTTTGGAGATCAAGACGGCGGCGCGCCTGGCTGCAGGCCACACCGAGAGGGAGATTGTCGTGGCGTGGACGAACGCAAGTGGCGAGGGTCCGTGCTTGGGCCCAGCGGTGTACGCGAGGGGCTGCTGGCACAACGCGCGCCTCGATGCCCCGCCAGATATCCTCGACCAGCCTGAGCAGGCAAGACTCGCAGATCGATGTCCTGGAGATGATTGCAGCGCCCCTCTTCGTCACCACGTTCCAGGACATGATTTGCGGCACTGCGGCCTTCGTGCCCATCGACAACACCGGCGTCCTAGGCAGCCTGCTGAAGGGCAGCTCCAGCGCGCCAGACGCGAACGTGCTCACAAGAAGGATCTGGCTGCATGCAGCGGAGTGGTCCTGGGCCCCAGCGTGGGCGAGGGTCGAGTCAGCAGCCAACGTTGCTGATGGCCCGTCGCGCCACGACCTCGCGCATGTTGAGAGACTCGGGGCTGTGTGGGTCGCGCCTGTGCAGCCGCAGTGGCTTTCTACTTTGTGGCTCATTTATTGAGGTGATTGCCCGCAGGGGGAAAAATAGCCGCAACGTGCCTCTGCAATCTGGTGGCCACGTGTGCAGTCCTGCGCCCGCCGTGACCCCATCCCCAGGTTGCCCTGCCCCTGGGTGAGGCCGTGGGGGCCATGCTTGCGGGGCTCACCCAGTGGGTGTCGCGGGGTGTGGTCTCATGTGATATCGTTGCCGTCGTCACCTTCGTGCGAATGCGAGGTCGGGCGGCCGGGGTCGGCCTCGCTTGCGCCCGTTGCCTTGTGGCCCAGCACGCTGGGTGGGCGAATCTGTTCTCTGTTACCCAGTTTCTTGGGTGAGGTAGGGTGGGCGTCTTATTCGCGCAATTGGCCCGTGAAGTTCTACGTCGATGCGCTTGCGAATCCGCCTCAATTGTCTGCTCTGGCGTTGCAGCGCACTCGGACTCAGTAGCGACATGGATGGAAGTAGAACGCGCGAAGAGGTTGCCCGCGATAAGTTGGTCGCCAGGCTGGCCAGACTCCGCGAGGCAGCACCTGAAGCGGTCATGTGGGAAAACGGCGACAGGCTCCCGCAGATCGCCAAGGCGCTCTCATGCATCGCGCCGACGAAGAGCGCGATCGCAAAATCGGGAGTTGGACACCTTCTGGCAGATGAGACGGTCTGGGCCCGCGGAGGCGACGTCGCCGTGACCTTCGCCAGCATAGCCCAACGAGCTGCGACGTCGCTGCGACCTTCGCCGCATGTGCAATGCGACCGTTCATCAGCAGTTGCAGGGCGCAGGCCGGTCGCGGCGATGAAGGCGGACCAGTGCATGGATTATGCCGTCGATTTCGCGGACTGGCTGATGATCGACGAGGTCCTTGCGGACGTTGCGCGCAGGAGGAGGCTGGCGGCGACACCGGTGCAGCAAGGCGCCCTCCACTGGAAGCTCTTGGACTCCATCGGCCCAGAGTCCCTGCGGGCGCGGAATCCCGCGCAGGCTGCGCTGCTCCGTCGCGCAGCGGCCATGGCCGCGCGGCGCGGGCAAGATGCAGAGCTGGCGCGCCAGGGCCACGGCGTCGGCGTTACTCAGCTGAGCACCAGCTTTGTCAACAACACTGTCAGCGTTACGGGCAAATCCGCCATTTCCCTGGCTGGCATGTCGCAGCACATGGTCGCGCAGGCCCAGGAGATGTGGACGATGGAGTGTCGCAATGTTTGCGGAGGCCCCCTGGGCTCCAGGTCCAAGGAGGTTATCCAGATGTTGGTCGCGGCGGGGCAGATCGCAGAAGTGGCGCGACTCTTTGACGAGAGGGCGCGCCTCTTACGCGTGGAATGCCAGACGGGTCCATGAGCTTGGTGGCATCTGATTTTGGGGCGCGCCTAGGGCGAGACGCTACCGCCCAGCAGGACGGGGATATCTGCAAGTTCCTGGCCATTTTCACGAACCCAAGCACGGCTGCCAACTACGTCGGGTACGTGAAATGGGCGTGCAAGCTTCTCTCTATGGAGACCGGGTGGTGGTCCCCGACTGTAGCCCTCACGCCCACGGGCATGCGTGCAGAGCACTTGCGAACCACTGGCGGTCCAGCGCTGGTGAAGGCGTTGCTCACTGACAAATAGGTGGCGCAGTTAGCGCGGGTATCGCCTGCAATGGGCATGCCGCATGTCTATGCGGCCGCGCTCGCGTCGCCGGCGTTCCTCCTCCGAGTACAGAGCGAGACTATGAGCCTGGAGGTCGGCATGCAGCGCGAAGCCCAGGCTTTGCCGCCAGGTCGCCACAGCGCTGCCTGGATCGAGTCGCGCGACGGAGGCCTCGACTCACCCCGCGTCCAGCTGGCGAGGAGGGACCGCAGACCACAGGGCAGCCTGCTGACGCGCACTTGCGCTTGCTCCGGGGCGTCTCCGCGCTGCCGCGCCGCGCGCGCGGTGGCGGCATGGCTCCGCGGCAAGAGCGCCAGGGGGAAATTGTTCGACCTCGCGAGTTTCTCGTTCGTCGAGGCCGTCCGCCGCATGCCGGCACACGCGGGCTACGGGGGTGCCGGCAGGTGCACCCTGAAGGCGTTCAGGGCTGGCAGAGCCACCTCTCTCGCCGCAGCGGGCTCCCCTATTGGCATTATTTTGGCAGCTGGCGAGCGGGAGTGATCTGCGTTCCTCCGGCACTGCCGGGCCGACGAAATCTCGGTCACTGCAGTCCTCGAGGTGGTGTGCGCTGAAGACGAAGACTGAGATGCATCGGCGGGAATTCGCCCTCGTGGAGGGCCGGCTGGCGTGACAACTGAAAAATGACCGCGCGTAGGACCGACATGGGTTGCGTAGCGTCGGTGGGGGCCAGCGTCGGTTGCCACAGTGAGCCAGGTGCGTTCTTTTACTATGGTGGCTTTGGTAGCCTGTGCCCCTGTTGCACTGGTGGCTGCTTCAGCCTGTTCCGTACCAGTGCGGGGTAGCGTCGACCCAATGTGGTGGCATTGGGTCACTTGGTGCGGTTGTCCCGCTGTGCCAGGTGATGCTGTAGGCGTCTTCCCCACGTAGGGCCATGCCAACCAGGGTAGCCTGGTGGCGCCGTCGGTATCGCGGTGGCTTACGCCGCACCGCCAATCCCCCATCTGCGTCTCCCCTCGCCCGTGCGCGTGATGTTGGACATGACGACTTGTGCCGACCTACTTTAGCCTGTGCCACCAGAAAGAATTTCGAGTACCAAGGAAGTACCGAATCTTGAAGGTTTTTACGTGTCGGGCTCTGGGAGACACTCGTTCGACACGGTTTCGACATTGATTTGACACCGGTTCGACAATTTTCTGTGTGCTCGAAATTATGTTTGGGATGTGGCCCTTACGTGCGATGGGAGCTACATAATTTTATGTACGTCAGCCATCCCGCCACCGTGCCAGGGTTGCGGGGTTGTGTGCATGAAGCCTAAAGGCCTCTCGGAGGCTCTTGGAGGCAGTTTTGAGGCGTCCTGGGGGCCGTCTGGGGGTATGTTTGGGCATTTTGGGGGCTTTGGGGGACCTGTGGGGATTTCTTAGTGGTTTCTTTGGACACTTTTGGCGCCTCTTGAGGCCCTCGGGCTCGTGCTCCCTCCACTGGGCCCGTTTAGGGGCCGTCTCTGGGCCTTCTACGGCCGTCGTGGGCGCGTCTTGGGTCGTTTTGGAGCCCTCTTGGCGGCCTCTTGGGAAGTCCTCGGGGCCTCTTGGGCCGTCTTGGAGCGTCAGAAAGGAGAATGCGAGAACGCCATAATCCTTCAAACATCTCAGGACAATCAATGATTGTCGCACCTTTGGGCCCTCTTGGAAGGCCTCTTAGAGGCATCTTGGGGCGTCTTGGAGGCCTCTTGGGCCATCTTGAGTCCACCGTTACGTTTTTTTCGGCCACGTCAAAACATGTGTACGTATATCGGAGGCGGGGGGTGAGATCGCAGTGGAACGGAGACCCCCAACCGGGCAATCGTTTCGTTTCGTTCGCGTCGCGCGGGCCAGGTGAAGCTGCGTGGGCGCGCGGAGGAATGAACCCGCCGCTGCTAGGGCGAAGTCAAGACAAATGACGAACCCCCTCCCGCCCGTCCCGCGGTGGCTCGCGGTGTCCCGCGGTGTCCCGTGGTGTCCCGCGGTGTCCCGTGGTGTCCGTCGTTGCTAGGGCGAAGTCAAGACAAATGATTCTCCCCCGACGGCCCGTCTGGCGGTGGCTCGCGGTGTCCCACGGTGTCCCATGGTGCCCCGTTGAGTGAGATCGATATTGAGATCGATATTGAGATAAATGTGGTGCCCCGAGGTGTCCCGTGGTGTGCCGTGGTGTCCCACACAGTAAGATCGATAATCAGATCGATAGTGGGATTGACTGGTGTCACGTGGTGTCCCGTTGAGTGAGATCCATAATGAGATCGATATTGAGATCGATACATGGATCGATGTGGTGCCCGAAGGTGACCGTGGTGTCCCAACAAATCAGATCGATATTGGGACCAATAATGAGATCCACTGGTGTCCCGTGGTGTCCAGTGGTGTCCCGTTGAGTGAGATCGATACTGAGATCGATATTGAGATCGATACTGAGATCGATGCGGTGCCCCAAGGTGTCGGGTGGTGTCCCAAAAAGTGAGATCAATAGTAAGATCGATAGTGAGATCGATTGGTGTCTCGTAGTGTCCCGTGGTGTCCCGTTGAGTGAGATCGATAGTGAGATCGACAAGTGTCCCGTGGTGTCCCGTGGTGTCCCAAAAAGTGAGATCGACAGTGAGATCGATTGAGTCAGATGTTGGTTCCCCCCCCTCTCCCCCCCCCAAAAAACCCTCCCAACAACCTCCATGTCACCCGAAGGGTGGTCGTATAGGTATTTATAGATGGATGTATACATACACACGTATGGGCTCCGGTGTGTTGGAGTGCACACGTGATTGATCAACCCCTGTCTCGTAGCACATGTTCATACACACATATAGGTGCGCCTGTATACACCGTGCACATGATGTTTGCAATACTTCCTGAGTGTAAACAAATATCCACCACAGAGTTTGTACTCAAGGGTCCTTGCCTCTGTTGCTTAAACATCAGATGAGTTTCCGGGGTGTCTGTCATGCCGGCGGCCGTACCCGCTCGTGGGCGCCGCGTGGGCGCCCTGTGCCCGCTCGTGGGCGTGTTCCGAGTTCTGGCTGGGTGTTCCGAGGATTCGCCGCGCTTGCAGGCGTGCCCGCTCGTGGACGCTCCGTACGCTCACATTGCGTGGCTCTCACAGCATAGCTCACACCACATAGCTTGCATCGCATAGCTCAGATCACATAGCCCAGACCACATGACGTAACGTACAGCTTACACCGCAGTTGTTCCATTCATTAGCTTACACCACATAGCTTACATCACCCAGCCTAGCTTACACCACACAGCCCACACGTATGTGGTATGTGTATACACAAAGATACAAAATTGCACTGGCGCTTCGCGCCGTGCATAATGTTCTGCAGTCTTCCGATTCTAAAGGGGCTGGCGCGCGTCCGTGCGCCTCGCCGCGCCACGTGCTTGCGCGCTTCGTCCCCCTCTTTCCTACCTCTAAATCCGCACTGTCCCCTTGCATGCGTGCGCGTCGCAGAGGTGGGGAAGGAGGCAGGCAGGCGAATCAACAGTGGGAAAGGCGGGGGCGATGTGCGTCAGTCTCAGCAAGCGCACGGCGCGAATTCAACCGCCCGTCAGTCAGGCACCTCCCGCCGCAGCGGCGGCGTTAAGCTCGTGCTCGTCGTCGCCCGCGGCCACATTCTCACTGTCGCTGCCCCCATCTGCGTCCCCCTCTGCGGTGGTGCCCCCCTATGGTATGCGTGTACCTTTCCAGGGACACGCTTTAGACGAAGGCTACGGGTGTATGTCTACATACGAGCGCGGAGGAAGAACTGTAGGGTCTCCACGGTAATGTAAACGCACGAGGGACTCAGAAAATGAACACAATGCAAATTTTGGCGACCCACGCGCCTGAAGGGAACGTCGCGAAACCTGGATTTTGATGTTTTTGGTAGAAATAGTGAACCCGTAGGTCCCAGGCCTCGTCGGCAGCATGTGTGGATTTGCTGGGAGGCTTCTCGGGGTCGTCGCAGAGACAGTGTTGAAGACCTTTTCGGTATTTCTTGGAGCCTCCTTGGGGCGCCCGGGCGCCTGGGCGCCTGCTTGCGGTTTTTGTGGTTCTTGCGCAGCGGAGGGCTCGCGCTTGGTGACCGTCTCGAGGGTCCTCGAGGGGCGAATTGTCCTCTTTTGGACCTGTGGTTGGGCCCTCTCGGGCCACTGCTGAGGCACCGTCGGCCGTCTTAGGGCCTTCTCGGGCCGTCATGGAGCCTCTTTGTGGTCTCGTGGACCATCTTTGGGCGATCTTGTAGGTCTCTCGGGCGAGCCCAGAGCGTCGGACGCCGGAAACGGGGAGAATATTCTTCCCCCGAAAGGTCTCTTGGAGGTCCTCTCAGAGGTCCTCTTGGAGGTTCTCTTAGAGTTGTCGAGGGGCGTCTTTGGGGTGTCTTGGGCCGTCTTGAAGCCATCCTGAGCATTTTGGAACCCTCCTGGGCCGTCTCGGGGCTCTCTTGGACCGTCTTGGGTTTTTTGAGGGATCGGCGCCCGCCCGTCAGTGTGCACGGTTTTCCAGGGACTTCCAGAGACACGGGAGTCTCGTGGGACCTGTTGCAGGGGCGTCCAGGAGCTCCGGAAGCCAGGGATTTCGAGTTGTCCGGCCTGGGTGGCGGGGAGGTCCCACTCCCTTGATTAAAAAATATCATGGCGAAGGGCCCAACCATTTGCAGTTGGGAGTATCGCCTTTGTGGGTATCGCTTTCGGGTGATCTTTTTATGGGGCCACGACGCGTGTAAACGGTGTGCCGAGATGGGGCGGGGACACATGCAGGCGCAGCCATGGGGGCCTTCGATGGAGCTCCTGATGATGGGGCCCCGAATCGTGTGAGGGGTGTTCCGAAATGGAGTGGGGCCGCCATGCGAACGTTGCCGTTGGGGCTTTCGGTGGAGCCCCCTTTGGGGGCCCGAAAGGTGTACTGGGCGGGGGAAACGCATGCGAACACCGCCACTGGGGCCTTCGGTGGAGCTTCCTGTGGGGCCACGAAGCATTGCACAAGGTGCGGGAGACGCATGGGGACACCGCCGCTGGGGCCTTCGGTGGAGCTCCCTATGGGGCCACGAAAGCTGCACTCGGTGAGTGAAACGCATGTGAATGCCGCCACTGTCGCCTTCGGTGGAGCTCCCATGTAGCCACAAAGCGCTTTAATTGGTGGGGGAAGCGCATACGGACACCCCCATTGGGGCCTTTGGTGGAGCTCTCTATGCGGCCACGAAACGCTGCACTGGGTGAGGGGAACGCAAGCAGACATAACCACTGGGGCCTCCTGTGGAGCCCCACATCGGGCCACGACGCGTTGTTCTGGTGGGGGAAAACGCATGGGGACACCGCCACTGGGGCCTTCGATGGAGCTCCCCGTGGGGCCACGAAGCGTTGTTCTGGGTAGGGGACACGCATGGGAACACCGCCACTGAGGCCTTCGGTGGAGCTTCCCATGGGGCGACGAAGCGTTGTACTGAGCGGGAGGAACGCATGCGAACACCGCCACTGGGGCCTTCGGTGGAGCTCCCTGTGGGGCCACAGAAGGTCGTACTGTGGGGGGGGGGGGGGGGCAACGCGAGCAGACACCCCCACTGGGGCCTTCGGTGGAACTCACGCATGCGGACACCGTCACTGGGGCCTTTGGTGTAGATTTCCATATGGCCCTGAAGCGCTGGATCGGGTGGGGGAAACACATGCGAACCATTCCACTGGGGCCTTCGGTGGAGCTCCCGATGGCGCGGCGAAACGTGTGAGGGGTGTGCCCAAGCGAAGGGGGGCGACATGCGAACCATGCCATTGGGGCCTTCGGTGGAGTTCCCTATGGGACAACGAAACGTGGGCCGTGCCAAAGTAACGCGGATGACGGGAGGAGCGGGAGCAGGAGGAGGAATAGAAGACGCGGGCACCGTCTTCTCAAAACGAGGACCCAAGACCACAGGATGGTGAGGAAACATAGAGCAGATAATGTGTGCTTGCGGTCGCCGCACAGCCTAGCTTACACCACACAGTCTGCATCATTTAGTCAGCATAGCGTACACCACATGACTCACACCGCAAAGTTTACACTACATGACTTGCATCGCACAGATCACACCATATAGCTTACACGACAGAGTTGCCACCTCCACAGTGCAATAACTCATTGTTCGGTGCCACCCTCGCCAACCTATTGCAAGTACGCTCTGGCGCCCACGTCCTCAACAGTGTGTGTGTGTGTTCCGTCTTGCGTGTCTTGTTCCTACTCGCCTCTTGCCTTGCGCTCCCTCGTCTCCTACCGCCCTCCTCGGGCATCCTCTCATGCTTGCCATGACCGTCTGTTCCCCGCCCTCGTCTTGCACCAGTCGGCTCCTGCTCGTCATGAGCGACTGGCCCGCGCACCCAAGGCAAGTGAGCAGTTGCCAGACGCGACATGACGCAGCCCAGGGAGAAATAATCTGCGCGTCGGTGAGGGTGCCGATGCATTCTGCATCACAGACCCGGTCTAGTGGATGCACTTGAGGACAGCATTGGCAAGCGATTGGGCGTCGTTGGGCGAGCGACCGGGTGGATCACTTCATCTCAAGCATGTGAATCTTCTGATGAGCCCGTCTCCTCCATCCCCAGGCCTCCGACGGCTCGATCTTTCCGAGTCGCTGGTCCACGGACTTGTCGACAGCGCCCCCCCGAGCTGGATCTTTCTGTCGGCCCAGGGGCCCAGATACGGGTGCGACACGCTGAGCCTCGACGACAGAGACAACGGCGGCGGCGGCGGGGCAAAGGTTGCGACGTCGATTGGCGACCGTCGACCTCGACGACGCCGCACCGTCCAGGGAGCACCTCCTCTTCCGCCTTACGCCAGTTCACGAGCAGGACGAGGAGCACACAGGGGACGAGGACGAGGAGGACGAGGCGAGGAGCACAAGGAGGACGAGCACGAGGATAACGACGACAGCGACGCCGACCATCTTGCGAACATGTGATCTCACAAACTGGTCTGTTCCCCAATTGTCCCTCCCTCTTCCTTGTTCCCGCCCGCTACACTCGAGCTTGATTAGTAGGCCGACCCTGCCAAATCAAGCGCACCCGTGCGTCCTGTGTTTCTGCGCCCCGTGTCCTCTGCATTCCTGAGGCAATGTGGACCTCCGAAGGGTTTTGTCTCGTGTCCCCTCGCGTGTCCTCTCCAATCAAGCTCGACTGTATGCCCATAGGCCAACCTCTTCTTGGGCGGCTTCTTTTCAAACCATTTCGTCGGAGCAGCATTCCGCAGCGCACTCCTGTGTGTCTAGGCCTCCCAGATGGGGTCCGAGTAAGCGGGGTCGGAGGACGGCGACGTATCGCCGATGAATCGGCGACGTCGGCGTGGAGAAAGTCGGCCTCCACATCGAGCCTCATCGCCGATGCATCGCAGATGCGGCGCGACCCTCCGACTCCATCTAGGAGGCCTTCTATGTGCTCACCGCGACGGCGCCGATCCCCACCAGCGGAGCCCCCTCCGCGCGAGCCGCCGCCCCCTCTGCCCCCGGGGCCCCGCGGGGTGCCCTCCAAGAGATGGCGCGCTTGGGCGGGGCAGAGGCGGGCGCGCCCGCGCCTCTTGTCTCCGCCGCCGCTCTACAGGCCTTCCAAACCGGGTCGGAGTAGACGGGTTCGGAGGATGGTACCGCATCGCCGATGCGATGCATATGCGGCTTGATGTGGCGCCCGATTTTCTCTATGCCGACGGCGCCAGGCTGCTGACTTGAAGGCAGTCTTTGATTCCTCACCAGCGGTGCCTGCTGCTGTGGAACTCGCCGAAGAGATACTGGGACCGACCCCCGTGCCCCCGCTCCGTGAATCCCCTCATCCTGGGGAGGTCGGCCCAACGAGTGGCCTGTCTGTCTTTCGCAGGCTGGAGCACCGACCATCCCAGTGCGGCAGAATGACAATCTGCCAACTCTGCGCTTGTTTTGTCATCTTGCCTGAAGGCCGGTGCAGAGGACTAGCCCCGACATGGTTTGGAGTTGCGCGTAACAATCAATTCGTGTTGCTCACATGCGTATGCTTGAGATTGCGGCTCGAGACCAACGTCCAAGAATTGGCGCTGAATTGCCCAAACCGCGGCGAAATATGCCCGCTGATCCCAGCTATGCGCAACCAGCGGATAGCGACGCTGCACCTGCCAGTCCAGCCCTTTTGCGTCGGATCGCCGACGCTCTACGTCTCGAGGTGACGGCCTCGCGTCCTGTGAAGGCGGAGGCTTGGCCGTTAGACAGGAGGGGTGGACTCGGGGAGGGCTCTGATGAATGTCAGTTTAAACCGCAGCTGGCTTGCCTGCTGCTCAGGTGATTGCGCCTTCTCTTCGGCCTCGAGTCGAGATGTAGCTGTGCAGAGTGCGCTGCGCTGCACCCGCGGGAGGCGCAGACACCGAAGTATGTGCAACAACCTCGTTGGTTGCTCCGTTCGCGCGGAAGTGTAAGATTCCTATTCCACTCACCTGTTGTCTTCATTCAGTTTGTCCTCAGCTATCAGATCGACTGCTGCTGCGCCACTCGCTCGCTCGCCCATTATTATCGCTGCCCTCGCCCCTCTCGTCTTTGCTCCAGGCACGTCGTCTCCGGCACCCATCTAATCCTCCTTCCTTGTTTCTCTCGCCCTCCTCCTCCTCTTCCTCCTCATCCTCCTCATCCTCCTCCTCGTCCCATCCTGGGTTCCGCCGTCCACCTCCCCCTTACTCGCCCCTGTCTGCGCACAGAGCTCCCGGTGCTGGTTTTCGGGGGCTTTCTTAGACGAGCCGCCTCGATGCTGGCGCTCCGTGCCAGGGAGGGTGTCAGAGGAGCATGAAGTATTAATATTGATAGTTTTCCGGATTTCCAGGTTTTCCTGTTCTTCCGCGGGGGCTCCAGGGACGAATGGTCGAGCGCATTCCGTCGCGCAGGGTTTTTTGCGTGATGTTCGCGGTGCGTTTTTCGCGCACCGGAGCGCCTTCGAAGATTCCAAGCTGCATGCTGTGTTGCTTTTGGGGAGTCCGCGAGTCGCAGCTGCCGTGGCGCTGTTTTCGAGGTAGCCCCTTCGAGTGCTGTTCGCGGGTGCAACGCGCGGCGCGCGCTGCGCCCAATCGCGCGCGGCGCGGCGCGTGAATCAGCCGGCCGCGCCCGTCGGACCGCCCGGACATTATTTCTGGATTGTAGAGTGTGTCAGAAAACGCCTCCGCTTTTTTCCGCGCGAGCGGTTCCGGAATTTTTCAAAAAGAAGCCCGGAAATTTTCAAAAAAACAGTTTTGAGGGGTGGAATGCGCCCGCCGCGCAGGACATCTGAAGAGTTCCGAACTCCGGAAATTTTCAAAATGGATTCCGGAATTTTTCAAAATCGACCCCGGAAGTTTTCAAAAACGATCCCGGAAAATTTCAAAAAGTAGGCCGGACATGTTCAAACATGTTCCCAAATTTGTTCAATTCTACCCCCGGGGAATTTTCTAGAGTCGAGCATGCTTTGCCTTGCCAGGTCTTTGGGGATCCGCCGAGGCACGCGGTGCGCGGCGGCGGGCGATGGGACGGTGCGCCACCGTCCCCTCCGCGCTCGGCAACGAGAGGGGGGGGTCAGCAATTGCCAAATAGCCCTTTACGGGCGACCACTCGATTGCGAATGGCTGACTGACCAGCGGCGCCAGCCAGAGTAGACAAACCTCGACGCCAGGTGTACCCCGCGCGAAGGCTGTTAGAAATCCCGGAATTTCAAGAACGTATCAATAGCACGCTGTGTCAATAGATTTCTTCCTGTCCTAGGGTGGGCCTTTCCGCGGACCGGAGGAAGAGGTGGAGGCGGAGGAGGAGGAGGAGGAGGAGGAGGAGGAGGAGGAGGAGGAGGATGGGAAGGAGGAGGAGGAGGAAGAAGAGGGGAAGGAGGGGGGAGGGAGGAGGAGGTGGAGAAGGGATGGGTGAGAAGACTTCTGCCGTCATATATCTGGCACCTGGAGTGTTCGCCCTGATCTTGTCGTGAGCTCGGGCCGGTACAAGTACCATGGGCTCTGCTATCATGGCAGAATGGACGTTCACACGTGCGGGGCTTAATTGTCAGAGGTCGGAGTCGGTTGCTGGACCCGGCTCGAGACGCTCGTCGGTCGTGTGGCCCCTTCTTTCTGCCCTCACCGGAGGGCTGGCGATACCGTTGCCCATGCATTCCCCCCCTGTGGCCTCCTGCCCTCCCTCTCGTTCTCTTCCTCCCTTGCGTCTCCCCTCTTGCGGAGATGTTTTTGCTTGGGTCTTGCCCTCGCGCGGCCTTGGGAGCCTGGGGGGTCCTCGTCGTCTCCGTTTCCGTCCTGCTCTTTCTCGCCCTCTTCTTGAGAAAAAGGTGTCGATCTTCTTGCCTGAAGACCGACCGAGGAGGGAGGTGGGGGAGGGGGAGGAGGAGGAGAAGGAATATGGGGCAGGCGCAAGAGCAGGAGGAGCAGGAGCAGGAGGGTGAGCAGGAGGAGGATGAGGACGGGCCATCTGTTCTCTCCTGGGCCGTCCTCAGCCTTCCTTGGGGCCTCTTGGCGCCTCCTTCGGAGGTCGAGGCGTGGCTCCTGGGCTTGCCGCCGGCGCTGCCGCGGGAGGCCCCCTCACCACCCTTGGCCTCGCTGCGCGCGACCGCATTCAATGGAGCGTCTCCTGCTTGGGGATGAGGAGTGCCAGTGAAGGGGAGAGATGAGGTGTGGAAGGCGGCGGGGGGAGGAGGCTTCAGGCAGGAGGAGAAGATAGTGGAGGAGAAGATAAAGGAGGAGGAAGAGGAGGAGGAGGAGGAGGAGGCGGAGGAGGAGGAGGAGGCGCAGGGGGTATCCGGAGGCCTCCACTGCTGTCCGAAGCGCTCCAGAGGAGGAGGAGACCGACGACGAATACCAGGAGAGAAAGGGAAGGGCGGAGTAAGGGATTACAAAGGTTCAGAAGGATTAGGCGGACGAGAAATGAGGAGGAACGATGCGGATGAGTTAGAGGAGTTGGAGGATGAGGATATTAAGGAGGTCGGGCAGCAGGATGAGGATGCTCTGAGGGAGACGAGAGGAGGACGGGAGGCACGAAGAAGGAGAAGGGTTGAAGCCCATCATAATTCACCAGACATTGTAAGGTCTCTGGCCGGCACTTCTCCTCCTCCCGCTTGGAGGGGGCGGGGGCGCAGAAGCAGACGATGGGAGAGGGAGGAAGGATAAGGATGGAGGGAAGGAGCGTCATGATGATGTTGTTGATGATGATTATGATGATGATGCTGCTGATGATGATGGTGATGGTGAAGGTTGATGATGCTGATGCTGATGCTGATGCTGATGCTGATGATGTACTTGTGATGATGAAGATGGTGGTGATCATGACGATGATGCTGATCCAGATGATGGTGGTGAGGATGATGATGTTGCTGATGGTGATGGCGGAGATCATGATGGCGATGATGATGATGATGCTGATGATGCTGCTGCTGATGATGATGCTGATGCTGATGCTGCTGATGATGATTATAATGGTGATGATGATGATGACGATGATGTTAATGATGAGGATGCCGATGATGGTGATGATGTTGTTGTTGATGATGGTGGTGATGACGACGACGATGATGATCATGATCATGATGATAATGATGGTACACGTACTGGTAGTTGGCAGGCAGCCAGGCTTCCGCGAGCTGCAGGGGTGGGTTTGGCCGCCTGTTGCATGTTCCCTTTCCTTGACGCTACCACAGTGTTCCAGCTTCAGTGTTTGCTTCCCCCGATGGGGTCGTGCGATGGGGGAGGTCCCAGCAGCGGCACGATCACTCGTTTCGGATATCCCAGCCAAAAAAGACCGAGCACATCTCCGCCAGCGAGCTAGGGGCATGGAGCGTTTGGCCGCATAACCATGTGCCTTGCATGCCTCCCTCACCCATCCATTCGGGCCTGCTTCTTGCTGGGCTTTGTGTCCCTCCGCGTGTGCTGACGCAGCGTGGCATCGCCGCCGGCTCTTGCCCGATCGCTGTTCCAGGCTTTCGTGCTTGCGCGACTCTGGAGTGGGAGCTCCTCGCGCCTCTGCCTGACTCAACGCAGATTGGATGAGGCGCCAATCAGCTGTACGTGTCAACAAAAACACCCTCCCCTCCACCCACCCCTCTTATCGCAGCCCTGGCGGGCTCCTCATCCCCGCCTGGGTGACAAAGTCCCTTCGGGGGACGCCACCGCCTTCTTTCAGACGCGCGAGTCTCTCCCCATCGGGGCTAACCTTACCCTCCGCCTCCGCTTTCTCCTGCCGATGCCCACGCGGGTGCACGGGGCTTCGGGGGGCGGGTACGCGCCTCAGGCCGCCGTGGCACTGGTCAAGGAGGTGCACCGGACTGGCATGGATGGCGCCGCGTTCGGCAAGCTGGTGGCCAGGAAGGGCCGCCCGCGGCTGCCGTGGTCGTCGTCGTCGCCGCCGTCGCCGTCGCCGTCGTCCTCCTCCTGGATGCCCAGGAGCGCTGCTCAAAGGACGGCCTATCTCTCAGAGGAGAAGCGTGTAACCTCGCCTCGGTTTCCCCCTTTTTGGGCCTCTCGGGAGTCCCTCGTCGCCACCGCTGGATTCGCCTCGAAATTCTTGACGTTCCGTGTATCCCCGCCAGCCGTCCCTACCCCATCTTGGACGCTGAGCCCGCTTCTGAGCCGGGCGCTGCCCTGCTGTTTTTTCTTTTGCTCCGGCGCGGCCCGCCTTAGCTCTGTCCGGCTTTCGACCTGCTTCGCGAGCCCGCGAACCAAAAAGTATCCCCGCCAGCCCATCCAGAAGCGACGCCCATGATGGCGAATGGCGGAAGCGAGGCCTCTTGGATGTATTTCATAATCTTTTTGGATGTTGCTTTGGAACTTGCTCGGGAGCCTCCCGGAGCGTCTGGGGGCCTCCTGGCGGTCTTGTGAGCCTCTTAGGACGTCCGGTATTCCGCTGGGAGCCTCCTGGGGGCCTATTGGAAGCCGTTTATGGGTTTCTTGGGTGACGCCATCTTGGAAGAGCTCGAGCAAAGAAGGGGGGTCCCTTAATTTGCCTCTCCCCTAGGAAGACCCCATCATCGCCTCGTGGGCCCCTTTTGGAGCGCTCTTGGGGCGCTCTTGGTTTCTCTTTGGAGCCATCCTGAGCCTTCGGAGGGCCTTCGAAAGCAAAAAGGCGAGACGGCAACGTTCATTGATTTCCATTCAGTTTTTGTAGCATCTTGGGGCCTTTGGAACGGACTTGGGGCCTTTTGGGTCGATCTTGGGGTGTTTGTTTGGAGCATGTTGGAAACTGGATTGAGCCAGTTTGGGTTGTCTCGAGCCATGTCGGAGGTCATCTTGGGCTCTGTGGCGCTCTTGGAGCCATCTTGGGCCCAAGAGGACCTCTGACACCTCGCGAAACCTCCCCTCCAGGTCCAGGGGAGGGGGTAATTAGGGGGAGGGGTCACGCTACACACCCGCCCGCAAGCCGTCTAGCTCACACCCACCCACCCTCCCACCACATACGTAACACCCGTTCTTGAGCATGTTCAGCGGTCTTTTCTGGATGGACAACTACTGGGATACAAAGCCAGCCCCAGGTGCGCGACGCTTGCGCGAGGTGCGCCACGCGTGCCACGGGCGCCATGCGCGCCAGGCACCCTTGTGGCCCGAGCGTGCCAGGCAGGCCTGGTGCGCCAGATGGGCCACGTGCTCCGAGTGTGCCAAGTGTGCCGCACACTCCAGACGCGGCATGTTCGGGGCACGTGCAGAGTGCGTTGGGTGCGCCTGCGCACATGACAGCACGCATCGAGAACCGTGTCGGCCCCCGCCATCCTTGTCGAAAGCCTGTGCCCATCATTGTGTTTGGTGGGCCTGCGCGCAGTAGGCCACGCGCCCCCCCCCCGCCGTCCCTGTCAAAAACCATTTGGCACTGATCGCGGGATGGCCGCGCATCATCCCGATTTAGACGCGAGGTGCATGTTGTCTTGCTCTGTTTTTATCAGGGATGGTAGTCCTGCGCACGGCAGGGAATATGCTGGCACCCCCGCCGCACTTGTCAAACACCTTATCCTGGCGAATGACCCAACCATATGCAGTTGTGAGTAACGCGTTATGGGTGCCGCTTCCGGTGAAACTCTTTATGGGGCCACGAAGCGCGTGAGGGACGTGCCGTAATGGGTGGGGGAGACGCATGCGGGCGGTGCCACTGGGGCCTTCGGTGGGGCTCCCTATGGGCCACGAAACGCTGTCCTGGGTGTGGCTGACGCATGCGGGAGGTGCCCCTCGCTGGAGCTCCCGATGAGTCCACGAAACGCTGTTATTGGTTGGGGGCAACGCATGTGGGCGGTGCCGCTGGGGTCGTTTTGTGGAGCTCCCTACGGGGCCACGATACGCTGCACCGTGTGGTGGCCGACGCATGCGGGCGGTGCCATTGGGACCTCCTGTGGAACTCCTTATGGGGCCACGGGGGGACGCATGCGAGCGTTGCCACTGGGGCCTTCGGTGGCCACTGGAGCTCCCTACGTGACTACGAAACGCTGTACCGGGTGGGGGGGGACGCATGCGTCCCTATGGGGCCACGAAGCGCTGTACTGGGTGTGGCGGGCGCATGTGGCCATCCCCACTGGGGCCGCAGATGGAGCTCCCTATGGGGCCACGAAGCGCTGTACTGGGTGTGGCGGACGCATGTGGCCACCCCCACTGGGGCTGCAGGTGGAGCTCCCTATGGGGCCACGAAGCGCTGTACTGGGTGGGGGGGACGCATGTGGCCACCCCCACTGGGGCCTTGGGTGGAGCTCCCTATAGGGCCACGACACGCCGTGCTGGGTGTGTCGGACGCATGTGGCCACCCCCTTGGGGCCTTCGGTGGAGCTCCCTATGGGGCCACGAAGCGCTGTACTAGTCGGAATCCTCAGCAGCCGTCGACGTCTCGCATCGGCGGAGGCAAGCGGGGTGGATACGCATCCGCCCAGGAGCCCCGACATGGGCGATCGGAATCCCTGGGTACCCGTACCCCCCTCTGGGCTGCTCGCCCCTTGTTGCTGCCGCCGATCACCCCGGGGAGCGTCCCTGCTGAATGATTCACTTGCGGCCAATTTGCGTCGATGGGGCCTTTCCTCACCGTTGATGTCTTGCCCGAAGTGCTAATCAGGCCTGCGTGTACATCCCCATCTCTACAGCGACATTCTCTTGCGAGTAAGTAGGATGACTGTTCTGGAACGTACCTCTTACTGTCGTCCGCAGGAGCTTGAGTTCCCAGTTTGAATGTGCGCTTGCCTGGGCATGGACAAGCTTCGCCTGCCATTGGATCTTAGAGGATATGGGGATTCATTGCGCGAACGCCGCGCTGGCTTTTGAGAGACGTGCGGTGACACGACTGAGTACACCCCACTGAATGCTTGCGGCACGGTGGTGGATACACGAGCACCAGATATGGCGAGGCTCGTCTTGGTCACAGGACTGGTGTTCAAGCCTTTCTGGCCTCTGGCTTGGCCCACCAATGGCCACACAATATCATCAGTGCGCCCGGCTGGGCCAGGCCACGTGTTGTGTGGGCGGTCGGCGCTCTCAATCAAGCGCTCATCCAGCCGCTGCCAAGTGAATCCGCCCGCCACGGCGCTCGAGGTGGGGCGCCAGCGGGGAAGGAGAGGGGATTGAGAGGGTGCCTGCCAGCAACAGTTCTGCCTGTATGCAGGATGTTGTCCCGCCAGAGGCGATTGCTGCATGGGCTTGGTGAGACGTGGGCTCGTCTTGGGCTCGATGCGTCGCGGGCCAGAAGTGCTGCTTCTCAAGCAGCAGTAGCAGCGACCGCCCGTGGCCGTCAGCGGGAGGAGGACGAGAGAGAGAAGAAGGACGAGGAGAAGAAGGAGGAGGAGGAGAAGGAGGAGGAAAAGGGCGCATGGTGACCTATTTGGGCCCTCTTGGCGCCTCCTGGGGACCTCCTGGGGGCTTACCGCGAGGACGCGAGGGCGCGAAGATAACCGCGCATCGCCAGGCGCCGTGCGCGAAGTTAGTTGATTCTATATTTTGCGGGACGTCGAGGAGCAAGAGGAGCAGAAGGAGGGATGGAGATTGAGGGAGGGTATAAAGAAAAAAGAGTACGAGGATGGACGAGGAAGAGGGGGATGGAAGGATGATGAGAACAGACGAGGATGGGGAGAAAAGCAGGTGGGAGAAGAGGAGCAGGATGCAGAGGAGGAGTTGAGAGAGGTGGAGGAGGGCGACGATCCGGAGGGTTGGCGCGGGTGCGGATATTCTCTTGCCCCTTAGCAATTTGGAGACGACGGGGAGGAGGAGGAGGAGGAGGAGGTGGAGGAGGAGGCGCAGGGGGTCTCCAGAGGCCTCCACTGCTGAGTCCTCCGAAGCGCTCCAGAGCTCTTTGGGGGGCCTCTTAGAGGAGGAGGAGGGGTTGGAGGAGGAGTATAGGGGGAGTGAGGGGAGAAGTTCCAGGCGGATCATGCAGTGGTTCCGAGGGCGCCCAAGGAGGTCCAAACACGCCCAACCCACACACATTCAGACATCAACACGAACCTCGGTCCTCGAACCTCGACCACCTCGATGCCGAGAGAGGGCTCCTGGCAGGGCCGCCTACGATACGATTCGATTCGCTGGCTGGGGCCGCGAACCCGAGTTGATGCGATTCGGACCGATTCGCTGGCACCGACTGGTGCTAGCCAGAGCTGGGCGCGGCGATTTGTTGTCGATTCGGCTTGGGACGATTCGCTGGCGATCCGTTCCGATCCTTCCCCGAGGCGATCCGAGTCCGCGATTCGATCCAGTGGAGGAGGACCCTTGGCGACCGATCGCGGATTTGCAGCGATCGCCGCGGCCGCCGCGGAGCGCGCCCGCCGCAGCCGCGTGACCCCCGCGGCCTTGGGCGGCGCCGTGACGCCGGCGAACATGGCGGTGCTGCGCCGCTGCTGGCGCGTTCGGGAGGGATTTGCGACCTGTTGATTCAGGGGAGCAGTTGAGGCAACGTTAAAGGTGGCCTTCGGGGTGGTCCTGTCGCCATGGCTGGATACAGCTCGGAAAGCTGGTGCGTTTGGACCCCGGGAGGGGTCTGGGGATCGATCTAGAGCTATGGATGCCTCAATTCGCCATGCTCCAGGTTACACCTGCAGGTTCAACTCGGCGGTACATCGGACACCTCCGCAGGGGTTCACTCGGCTGCATACATCGTTCGAGTTCCGAGGCCCCAGCGGTGTCTCTGAGGTCTTACTTGCAGGGTAGGTTTTGCAAGCGGTTACCTTGAGGATGAGCAAGGGTGAGGACGAGGATGAGGGGGATGAGCGGGAACCATTGTAGGATGACGCGGAGAAGGAGGAGAAGGAGGAGAAGGAGGAGAACGAGCATCAGAAGGAGGAGGAGGAGGAGGAGGAGGAAGAGGAATGGTGATGATTGATGCCGAGAGAGAGGAGGAGGGGGAGGAGGAAGAGGAGGAGGAGACGGAGGTGGAAGAGTCTATCCATCGATTTCTTCGTTCCTGAAGCGTCAGACGATTCGAGCGAGCGACTCGGATGAACCAGAGCCTTCCTTTGCAAAAGACAACAAGTTCGACTTGTGCGCCTGACAGGGAAGAAGACACCAAACGGCCTAGAAGGCGTACTGGGCTAATTCAACGTGGACGCAGGACGATGGGAGGTTGTTGCACGCAATAAGTCTTTGAAGTCAGACAAAATTGAAGCATCACTACGTTCCAAATCGCAGCTGCCGCACGATCTCTTCCACGCAGCCTACATGTTTCGTTACCGCATTGAATACAGATCCAAGGTTGTATTTAATCAAATTCCGGACAGAGGAAAGAAGACAGGCGACATCGAGCAGATGTTCGCCACCATCATTGCAGAGGAGACGCATGTCGACCAGATATATCAGACCATGTGTTCGTGAAGCATCTGTCGCGCACATTCGTGTCCACACGCATCCTCCCATCCACCACATCTTCACGGGGGGAGGAATGTCCCGAGCATGTGCGCGTGTTGAGTGGCGCGCGTGTGGTACATGTTTATATTGGCTGAGGGCTTGTCATCGCCACGTCTTCGTTATCATAATAATAGTTCCTTGCAGGCTGTTCTGTGCACGTCAGATTCTCACAGCTCCCAAGCCAGTCCGCATTGTTGTTTGGTTGTGGTGGGGATATGCATGTTGGCGAGGGGCAGGGTTTCGGCGGCACTAGCTGGCGACCGGGCGCGTACCAGCACCTGTCCGCGCACGCCCACCCACCACACCGAGTTGGTAGCGTCGCAAAAGGAACATGAGCAACAGGAGCAGCAGCATCAGGAGCAGCTGTCTCAAGACGCACACATTTCTCAAGTTGTCCAGTTGCGAGAAGCGTGGCAACAGGAGAAGCTGCCACACACACACACACACACACACACGCACACACACACACACGCACAAGGCCACCCCCGCCGCCGCGACGGCGGCGATAGCGAATGCGGGGAAAGCCATTGCCGCGGAGGTTCAAACCCTCCCAGGCTGCCCGCAGGCCCGTTCGGGGAACCCTTCGCCTGCTAGCATGTGAGAATTCCAGTCGTTGGTCTGGGCGATGCGTGTGGGGTTTCCTATGATCAGTGGGAGAGGCTTTGGCGGCTTCCCCCTGGCGAGCGTAAGTCCTTTCCGCCGCCGACCCCCCCCCGGTTCTTTCCTCCTTCGAGGTAATGATGGTCCCCCCCTCTTCTCGCTACTGCCACGTCTCTTTTATCTACCCTTTGCTGTTTACCTTCAGCGGGCGACGCCTGCAGCGAATGTTCCGGGAGCCGCCTGGCTCTTAAGTTGATCTGCCCTTGGGAACGACCGGCCCTGTTGGAAAGGGCATCATCCGCTGGATTGTCATGCCACCGGGACCCTCGAGCCGGGGGGGGGGAGGAGGAGGAGGAGGAGGAGGAGGAGGAGGAGGAGGGGGAGGCGGAGGAGGAGGAGCTGGTGGAGGAATCACAAAAGAGTAGGAGGAGGAGGAGGAGGAGGAGCAGCAGCAGAAGCAGCCGTGAATGAATGAGGGGGAGGAGGAAGAGGACGAGCTGAAGCAATGTATGCGAAGGAAACTGCTGGAGATATGGCAAAACCACATACACCTTCGGACTTTTAGTTGCGGTTGGAAGTTGTGGACGGGGCAATGCTCCAGATTCTGGAGCACTAGCTTCCCGCTAAAGAATTCGAGAGGTTTCGCGGACGCCACGCGGCTGCCCGCTAGCGGTCGGTAAACAAAAAGTATCCCCACCATCCTTTGTTAGTGGTAGCTTTGGACGTCCCGCGGCCCTTCCGTTTGCGCTCGCGAACAAAGGTAACCGCACCCTCCCATCCAGAGGGTGCATTTCGGAGTCTCTCCGAATGTTTCTTGAGAACTTCTTGGAGTCCTCTTGGGGCGTCTCGCCGTGACCTCTTGGACCGTTTTGGGTGCCTCGGGGGAGCTTCTCGGGGCCGCTTCAGGGTGTCCTATGGGGAGCCTCTTGGGGGACTCTTGGCGCCTCCGAGGCGCCTCTCTTGGGGCCCTCGTTGGGCGCTTCTCGGAGACTTTGGGATCATCTTAGGGCCATCCTGGAGGGCTTCGATGGAAGAAGGGAGGACCCTTAATGAGCGTCGCCTCTCCAAGAGGCCACAATGGGCCCAATACCTGAGTAGAATCATCGATGTTTGCCTTCTAGTTCCAGTGTTCGCGGGGCGCCCCGCACAGGAGAAGGGGCACGAGCAGCAGCAAGATGAGGCGTAGGAGGAGGAGCAGGAAGGGGGGGAGGAGACGGATGAGGACGAGGAGGACGTGACGAGGGGGACTGGGATGAACAACGGCAAGGAGGAGGCCGTCGGGCGCTGCAGGCACGCCAAGTTCCCCGCGGGTGCTGCGCCGGGCCCGGCGGGCGCGGAGCTGCTGGCGCCCTCCTTCTTCGAGCCGCCGTCCAGGATGCCCGCGACGTCGGGGGCGAGCTCGGCGTCTGAGATCGATCGGGGTTCGCGGTTGCCACCCGGGGCTTCGACAATTTTTGGGGAAATTTCCGAATGTTCTCGAAGCTCCATCCCACTTCGCCCCTGACGTAGCCCCTGATCGCCCCCCCTCTCCCCGCGTTCGACACGTGGATGCCCGCGTGGCCCGCCGCCGCTGCGCTGGCGCTGGCGGCGCCGAGGTGCGGCGTCAGGTCCGGTAGCTGGATCGTCGGAGTTTTCCTGGCTTGTGTTAGGGCCTCCAGCTGCGGGCACCTCGCGAGACCTTTCGGCTCAGACCCAGTCGAAAAGACCGCGCTGGACGCTGAGGCTCGCTTTTCGGCGCCTGGATGATGGCCGGTTCCTGTCCTGGGGGCCGCCGAAGACAGGTCTCCAGGCATGGTGAACGACCACAACCATCATCCAAATCGGGAGAAACGCGCGCTCCGTTTTGGCGCAGTCTGGCTTCTTTTCCCGGGGCATCCACTGTCGCAACCCCCGCCGCGCAAGGACAGACGACCCCAGTATGAAAAGCCAGGTGTTGGGTGTCGAGAGCTCTGGTAGCCTCGGGTCGACCACGCGTATGAGTGACACTTCGCCGGAATGCTATTTTTGGTGTAGTTCCACAAAAGGCGATACGATAGCGGTGGCTTGCGCGCTCGGGCTTGGCCCCCCAAGCCGCCCTGAAAACGCGCATCAAGGTCAATCTTGCTAAGGGCCAATCATTGCGTGTAGCCGATCGACGAGTAACGCACACACGCTCAGAGGCAGCAGCGAGCGGGGCTCCCCGCTGCAGTGGGTTGGCGGAGCCCCGCGGGCCGCGCCCAGGGGCTGCATCTGGCGCTGAGGAGGGGCAGCGCAGCTTCCAGTCCTGTGTGTGTGTGTGGCTCCCGGGCGCCCCCCCAGCCGACCTCGCCACTGCCCCTTCGCGACCGATGCTGTCGACCTCCTATAGGCGGATCCAGTGTCTCCACGCCTGGCCGGCCCGCGCGCGCTTCCCGCTCGACTTGCTCTACGCCGCACCAGTGCGCGCGTGGCCGCGACGCCAAAAAGTGTGATGGTGGTGGCGACCGCGAATACGTCGACATTGATGGCAATAGTGGTGATGACGAGGATTGTGCCGTGGTGCGGGCGTCATCTCGAGTTCTTAACGCTTCGCGTATCCCCACCAGTTGGACTACGACCCGAGCAAGGTGAGCGAGGAGTCTGAAGGGGACGTGACGGACGAACCTGAAGAAAACCAAGCTACAGGCGATGGTCACAGCACCGGGACGTCTGACGACGAAACATCCAGCGTCACAGACGATTGACCCCCGCTGCCGATGATGCGAGATCCGCCACACCGGGCCCCTCCAGAAGGGCACGAGCGTGGCAGGGAACAGAGCGGCAGACGAGAGCAACGAGATGCTCCCATTCAGCACGCCGGTGACGACAGGACTGGTTCCTCGCGCGGACACAGGGACCAGTGTAGTTACGACAGGTCCTCAGACTGAGGGGCCGCGCAGTATCGTGACGACGCGCGGCGCCACCAGAACGTGCGCACGGGAAGCGTCGGGATATTCAATCATAGCAAATGGGTACCCTCATCCAAGAACCCACTGACCATCCACGAGCCCAAGAAGACTGACGAGTCCAATATGTACAAGGCACCACTGCACACGATCGGCTCACAATATTTCTGAGAGTCCGACAGCGCTTTCGTTCTCAGGACGCATAAGGAACTAGGCAGCATGTTCAGCGACCTGCGGGGTGCAGACTGTGCCAAAACTTGCCCCACCAACGCCCAGCCGACTTTCAACCCAGCACTGCAACCGCCAGGCGTGTGCCGAAATTTGCTCCACGCGTGGAGGGCCGCAGACTACGACGTGCACCGCGCCGACCAGATCATTCGCACCAAGGCCAACTTTCGCAGCCAAACAGACAGACTCACGGCTGTCAGTAACGCCTCCAGCTCAGGCGCTGCCAGCAGAAGCGGGGCCGCCGCCTCCAGGTTCCACGCAGCAGGAATGCACCCGAGCAAGGGGAAAGGCAAGACGAAGAACGGACTCGATTCATTGGGCAAGGCTGGGAAAAGGAACCGAGCAACCGAGAGCCCATGGAGTTCATGGAACGAGACACGGCATCGTCAGTAACACTGAGTGTGGGGCACGACCTAGTTTCAGCGAGATACGGCTCTGACATCACACCGGGTATGTTATGCACCTAGCAACGCCACGCGCCTACACTGCTAACTCTCTTTCCTACGCATGCTGTGGTCAACGGCGTTCCCCTGCTCTCCTTCTCCTTCTGCCTCCTACGCAGTCACCGTTCCAAGCGGCTTCGGTCTGACAGCCCACCGTGATTGTCCCTACCGAGCGTCCCAGTGAAGAGCGCCCGGGGTGTTTCACCGTCGGGGGTCGGCGGGCCCTTGCAGTAACTAGCGCGTGGCTAAACAAGAAAGCATGCGTTGCCCGCACCCGCTGGCGCACATGGGACGATGTGCTAGCCCAGTGTAAGACATCATCATCGTGATTGACGCTACCTCACGGCTTTAAGAGCCCAGCTTTATCCAGGACTTCGTGTGGAGGACAACGGCAAGATGGTGACAGTGGCGGGTTTACTGAGGTAAGCTTCGATGCAGAACGCCTTGCGCGCGCGTCAGCGCACGCAGGGTGATGGCGAGCTCTCCTCCTTCTTCGCCTTTTGCGTCAGCGGTTCGCTGACTTCCCCTCTCTTGTTCCAAAGGGTCTTTCCCTCGCGGCCGGGGTTGCCGCCAATGCCGCTGTCGGATGGTGCTCCGCCAGCCTTGTTTTCACGCAAAGTATTACACCAGGAGTGGGTGGTGAGGTGCCCGCCGGCTGCCTTAGGCCGGCGCCTCCCCCCCCTTGCTGATGGCCGAAAGGGTTCAGTGGGGTCCCGTTGCTCGTGTCTCTTTTTTTCCCCCTTCTCTCCTCCCGCGCTTGCGGCGTGCGCTTCTTTCCCCTCCTGCATCCTAATGCCGCAGTGGTTAGCTGCCACAACGGGGGGCCTAGCGTGCCTGGCGCGCACTTCCCCTCCTCTCCCTCGCCCCGCCGGATTTATCCCACGCGGCTGGGGTCGCCGCCAATGCCGATGCCGCTGTCTGATGGCGTTCTGACAGCTTGAATTCCATGCAAGGTTCACACTGGGAACGGGCGGCCAGGTGGCCCCTGACCTGCTCCTGGCTGGCGTCGGCCTCCACTGGTGACCGGAGGGGTTCCGCGAGGTCTCGCTACGAATTCCATGAAAAGGATCACACTGGGGATGGGCGGTCAGGTGGCCCCTGGCCTGCTAGCTCCTGTCTGGCGTCGGCCTCCACTGGTGACCGTTTGGGTTCAGCGGGGTCTCGCTACGCTGCCGTCCTCATCGGTGCGAGGACTTCGGCGCGCGTGGATCTGTGCGCCCGTCGGCTGCTTTCTCTTACGTGGACTTCGCTTTCGACGTGTGCCGCTGCTGCGTAAACAAGGGGTTCTGCCGTTTGCAGTCCTGTCTGTGACGAGGTTGCCCCTCCTCACTCTTGCGCTGACACGGCGCCGTTGTGTCGCCGACGGTGCGGACGTCGTCCGGGCGCGCCTGTCGGTCCTGATTGTATTTGTCGGGCCTTGTGCCGACCCACGCCGAGTGATCGACCTCTGCGCGTTCATGGTCGCGCCGCCGCGCCATTTTGATTGCGCCTATTTGATGGTCGCCACCGGGGTCTCTACGCCACCGAGTTGGGAGTGTTGTTTCGGGCTCTTCTTCTTCTGAGTGGCTGCGCGCGCGCTCACTTTGCTTGCAATTATTTTCTTGCTGCCTAGTCGCGGCCCGGCTAGTGTTCGGGCGGCTATCGACCTGCTTCGCGAGCCCGCAGACCAAAAAGTACCCCCCCACCAGTCCGGCAGTCCCGAGGCGGCGGACAAGCCCTGCAGCCCCGCGCCCCCCGCTGACGGCCCCTGCGCCCCCCCGGCGCTGGCTGGGCAAGACGACAGAAACCTCGCGCGCCTCCCTGGGCGCAGGGCCCCTCCACCCCCTAGCATCCCCCGGCAGCCCCGGACAGCCAATGCGGCGCGGGATGAGTGCGACTGGGGCGAGGGCGGGGGTGAGCGCCGCCCGCGTCGGCATCGCGAGGCCTGCCGCAGCGGCCCCTACAGCGGCGACTAGACAAGATGGGCAGGGTGGTCCAGCTGGGAGGCCGGCGACCGCTGGAGTCGGTCCGTGTGCACCCACACACGCGCCATCCTCGATGAGCCCCCTACACCTCGGTCGGGCCCTTGGCCCTCCTACGAGCGTGCACGCGCCGACCTCGCACAAGGCCCAACTGGCCCAGTCGCCGGCCTCTACATCTACATGACCCCACTGGAGCGGATCGACCTCAGCAATCCCCCTGGCGAGACTCCGGCCGAGACCGTGAAACGGCCCCAGAGGGGCCTCGGAGAGTATTTCAATGGGGCACGCCACCAGCGGACGACCAGGAATCCCACCAGGTCGGGCCACATCTGCGCCGACCCCACGAGGCAGGAGCCCGAATCATGCTTGCGCTTCCTCAACGAGTGGATCAGTCACGGCTGTGATGCCCTGAAGATGGACGAGCCGCTTCGACTGGGCGTCAATTGGGCTGCGGTCCGCAGTCAGTTCAATGATAGGGCCGGGGGCGAGGGCGCCCCAGGCAAGGCCAAAGGTAAAGGGGGCCCGAGAGGACAGCGACTCCAGCTGGACGAGAATTGTGGAACCCCGGCGGTCCGCGGGCTCGCGCCAGCCCCACATATGTACTCCTAACTCCCAGTCCAGGCCGCGCGGGCGAAGGCGCGCCACGACTCCTCTCCTGGCCATGGACGCCCCGCACCGTATATCAGTGTGCCTCGCGGAGCCCGATCCCCCCCCGACCAGGCGGGGCTGGTCGGCCTTTCCGGCGCACAACCTCTGTCGTGCGCCAATGCCGCCTCGGGTGCGCCCAGCTGGGGCTGTTGGCGCGCCCCAGGCTTCAGAGTTCCTTCTGGGGCACCACTTAGCGGCCCCTCCTGGATGACAGCCGCCCCCCCCCCGACGGGCCTTATGCGAACCCGGGTTTGCCCCCCCCCCCCCCTCCCCCGCCCCCGGGGGGGGCCTCCAATATTGCTAGAGCCACCGCGGCGCCACTTGCAGCCCTGCGCCGCCCTGCACGTCGGCGCCTGGCCCTCGTCGCCCACCTGGCAACGAGGGCCCGCCCACTGCCCTGCAGACCCCCGCCCCGGCAGCTCCCCCTCCGCTACGGGCCCTGCCCGCTGCGGGCCCAGGCGCATCACTCTGACCGCGGTTGTTAGCTGCTCCCCCACGCCCGCCCTGCGGCTGCCCCCTGCTGCCCCCGCCCCCACGGTCCGCCCCTCCTTCCCCCCGCGCCC